CAGATTCAAGATTCATTATTGAGCCCCCTAGTCCCAATCAGACAGGCTCTGCAACACAGTCAGGGTGATTTTAGCTTACTGGAGTAATGCATGACAGTCCTAAAGCTCCTTTTGCTTAAATAGCATGACACAGTTCTTCCCCCTAGATCACATAATAAAGCTCAATAGAAAAACTGAGTAAGAACAAAATACATAGTCTGCATATGTCAGAAAAGACCAATTCCAAGGCAGTCAGGAAAGGAAACAAATCATTGACTACAGTGCACTCAGAATTCTGATTCTATTAGTTTTTAAAAAGCCACACTGGAAGCAATGCAAGGTTTTGCTTAAAGACTACAGGAAAATGAAGCCGTAAGTCTACGAACTGTGAAAACAAGAGTGAGAACACAGATTTGGGGATGTAAGACAAAAAGCTGGCTAAAAACACACCAGAATTGGAAACTTCCCCTCTGGAAAATGCCATTTCTGTCATAATATGCCAACTCACCGAAACAGTAACGATAGCTGAGATGGGTCAGTTACCCAGTTATCTGGGTGGTTACTGGCTAAATACTGCATAACATGGGTTAAGGCATGTTCCAGCAGCTCTGTGATGCACAGCAGTGCTCAGGAAAACTGCCCTCTCAGTGCCAAAAATTCATTGCCACCCTGTTTGCATTTAAGTACAAACTCCTGGAGCAAGCACAAACCAGGGATGATCACAATGTATCTTGGCCTTGTTCAGCTCCCAGACTTACCCAGTTCTGCAGCAAATGTCCTCTGCACTTGCACATCCTATTTTTAAGTTTTTACACTAAGCTTTATATCCTAGAATTTGTAAATAATAAAAAAAACAAACAGCTTTCTCTTCATCCATTTTATTTTTTGGGGTTATTTTTAATGGTACGTCAGAAATGAAACCTATCTTCTAATGAACTAAAAGCATCAGCGCTCCTACATCTGTACATCTTTTATGGAGGTTGGTCTGTGAGAGCTTGTTTACGAGAAAGGAAATTACTGCCCAGCCCACAGCTTGGCCTTTTAGGTGCTGACTGACTATAAATTCGTGGGCTGTCCATTAGGAAAAAAAAAAAAAAAAAAAAGCATAGAAAAAATTGGGATGCTCTTAAGAGGTAATGGTCATGGTAAACCACCCAACATATCTTTATTGTCTTGGGTAGGGATGAAGTTATGAGTGAAAATGCACAGATATCTCTAATAAGCAAGCAATTTTCTTCTGGGGCCTCCTATTGCATATGGTCAGCGAGGCTGGATGGGGCCTAAGAAGAAGAAATGCTCCAGCATGGTGGGAAAAAAAGAAACAAGTCTGGGGAGAAAGGTAGTGCTGAGGTCTTCTTATCTCCCTTCAAAAAGCTGCAAACAAATACAAATGCAATGAAAGGCCCCTGATTTTCTAAAATACAAAACCTGACCAAGGCTGTGAGAAATTGCCCATGATTACTGACAGGTGGCTCTTCACTCTTGTTATTGGAGTAACTGCCTCAAACTGTTCACAGCAGTGTTACCCAGGCAAATACAGCTCAAATGCTTCTGCTGATTTTTCTCCCTTTATATAAATAAGCAAAACCTAACGTTAAATGCAATCTGACATATCTTAGGTATTGCTATTGCATCCAGTGGCAGCTTCTCAGAGGTTTTATGCTGTTCATTAACAGAAGGAAAAAAGTTAAACACGTCTGAACATTTTAAACAACAGCTCACCACTGCAAAGGGATAGATAGAGATCAAACTAAAAAAAAAAATAAAAAAAAAAGAGAACAAAACGAATAATCATTATTTTGAGAAGGATGTTTAAACATGTTGCTAAAGAATCTCCTGATTCCCACAGTGGCTGTGTGTGCTCTCAAGGAGGATGCCAGCAGCTCTGCTGCACAAGGACCTCGATGCTTAGAGACTGTTGCTATGTGGACCATGCTCAAACCCTCCACGTTTGTTCTCGTGTGGGTAAGGTGCATTAACCCTGGCTGCCCTTCTGATGGCACGCCACTGATTATTTGCTCCGTGCTCCTTGGTGGCTTTGAGTTAACTGGTAGGGAATCAAAAGCCACGTGGCTGACAAACCCTGCTTAAGGGATTGTCTCAAGCCCTACAATTTTTGCAGAACTCTTCCTGAGCACATCCTGGTTCAGCAGTGATGGTACCCACACCCAGGTCCCGAGCCTGGTAATAATGAAGTGCTTGAAGGGGGACTACTGTGGGTTAAACTGAGCACTTCTGATGCCCCAGTGAAGGATAAGAAACTTCTTTAGTAACTCCATTGAAGTTAGAGGATAATTCTCACCGGCAAAGTTAATTACGTGAGAACTTGATTCAAGAACTTGATTCAAGATGGGAAAGATCAGATAAATATGCCATTTCAAAACTCTTTTTGCTCATATTTTTCAAGTGTCTGTTATCTATTTCAGATTTTTTTTGTGCATTTTTTAATTGTGCTATTTCTGAATACGAAGAAACAGTATGTATAATTAATACATATATTCTATCTTATCTTCTCGTAATGCAAGAGGGGGTCAGCGCTCTCTCCAGGATGCCAGAGACAGGAGATTTCTCCAGAAAACTTCTTGGATGGCACTCAGTCCCACCCCTAAAGGACCAAACAGTTTTCTGCCTGCTTTCTTCTGCCTGTTTTAGAAGAGCTACCCTCTCACGGACATAGAGAAGAAATAGTACCTCTTATCCAAAGAAGCTCCCATTTTCATCAAATTAGTATTAATTAGCAGAAAAAATGATATTCTAATTGCGATACTAATTACTTGTAGACATCACAATACCTTCAAAGCATTTCATGAGAACGAATAGAGCAATGCATGCATTTTATCAGCTCCAACGCTACTTGATGTACATTAAATATTTTTGAACTAAAATGCTCAGTACTTTATAACCGAATACCTAATTGTTCAAAAGAAGAATAGAAGACTAAGCAGCTTTTCAATGATGGAAGTTCAGCTTTCTAATCAGAAGAACAAACCATGGTTAGTTTAGCACATTTACAGCTGATCTTATTCCAAGGGAGCACTGTACGTTGCAGTTGCGTGTCTGCTTTTCTCAAGGACTGCGGATAACTACAGTTTATTAAACCCTGCTGAGACAATCTGTTCTGTCTGTCTGTTTTAATGTTGTTATAAGTCAGTTAGGCATGTACCATACTTGTTAGCTGCATATATACTAATTTAATGTATTGATGGGCTGTCAGTACAAATACCTAATGAATATTAAAATACAAACTCAGATACAGAAATGCAAAGCAGAGCCAGCATGTGGTTAACATTTTGAGGGACAGGCAGAGAAAGGAAAAGACCAGAGTTCATAGTAAATGACAGTAAACACTCATGAAATGAACCTGAAAACAAATCACCAGCGGCTTCCCAGGAAAGATGGAAGAAAATAATAATTAACGGTCTCAAAAACACAGGCTCTAAATATATGCTGTGAACTTTGTCTTCTGCCAGCTGATTTCAATATAAATGAAACAAAGCATGGTTCAGAGACCAGTATGCCAGTAAGACAAAGAGAAATAAAGAAAACAGAATAAAGACACTGTACTATGGGAGGGAGGGAAGGGGAGAAGGAGAAATCTCCCACTGTCTCCTCCTCAATGCTAATTTTCTCTTTAACAATGGCTCTAAAAATGGATAGTAGTTGATACTTTGCATGTTCTGCATAATAGTCTTTCAGCACAAGCATGTATGGACAAATCTCTCCTGCTTCAAGTGAATGTGGCAGGAGTTTGTTGGGCATGTTTCTCTCCCTTAGATCATATTCAGAGCTGCAGCCAGCTGCTTGTCAGAGACTCAAAGCCCCATGCACCATTCAGGCTCAGCTCGGAGGCATGCTGTCTCTCCTTCCCAGGTTTGAAGTGAAAAGCAAATTACAAAGAAAAAGCCTTTGGGCCAGAGGAGGAAATATCGAAGTGTTGCAAGCAGGGAGGTGGCGGGGTAGAGACATGGGGCTAATGAAACCAGGAGGAGCCAGGGTCCTGCGAGAACTGCCTGCAGTTCAGCCCCAGCATCCTTCTCCCTTTGCCACCTCTCCAAAATTACAAAAGCATCTCAAGGGTACATCTACTGGTTGTGGAAAATGGAAAAAGAGCTGCTAAATAGCAGGAAAGCAATAGGGAATGAGCGGTGAGCTCCCACCTGGAAGGCTGCCAGCACAGAAGGGACCCGAAAAAGAGCCCGATGTGAAAACCTAGCTCTGGAGGTGGTGGGCTGGTCCCCCTGGTATCCCATTATCCCTGGGCTAACAGTACTGCAATGCAGATGCTGCACACTCATCCATGAGCACATGGAGGGGGTGGCAAACCTCTGCAGGTGACAAGGAAGATGTGAAGTCGAAGCGGGCTCCATCCCTGGTTATTAGGGATGGCGTTTCTCCATGGAGTTCCTCGTGCTGGAGACACTGGGGGAAAACTCGTAGGTTTATCTATAGTGAAGCCTTCCTGGGCTGCTGCAAACAGCTGTGTTTGCTGACGGGGAGGAGTGTGTGTCTTCCTGGAGCAAATGAATAAGAGCTTGTCAAAATTTCAGGCATTATGTAAACACCCAGTGGAAAGAAAGACAGCAAGGCTTTGAAATGAGAGGGAAATTAGGAAAATTGTAGGATTATGTTAAGAATCAGAATTCTATATTACACTAAATACACGCTTCCCTGATGGCTTCAAAAAAGATTTAACAATAATTTTCTGGTTTAGATACAGTCCGACACGATGAAATACCTCAATTTACTGTTTGAACTAGGAGAGGATGCACACACGTTTCTCAAATATCTCTCTGCCCCCTTCATTGCTCCTCTTCCCTGGTTCCTCTTCATATGGCCTCCAAATAGTCCCTATAAAGCTGTGAGGAATGGAAAGCTCTCTGTTTCCCTTCCCTTTGCTTTGGCCTCTGGCTGCTCTTTCTCCAGCCCAGGAGATCAGTCACAGCAGCAGCTGCTAAAAATTTGCTTCAGGAAGGGCTGTAGGGTGGTGGGCCAGGGTAGTAAAGAAAAGAAAGGACTCATCATGGCTTGGCACATGGTGCTTCATTACATCGACTTTATAGGTAAACACAATTTCTGGATGAAGTAGCATTGAAGTAGGCATTGATGGCAGAATAGATTAACACAACCTACAAACCTATATTTCACAAAGAAATGATTTTTGGGTCCTCCAGCAGACTTTGGGTAGACGGTGGAGAAAGCCACAGAAGCCAGGCGAGGAGAAAGAGAGTGCATTTTGAGTCCAAGCAGACCTACAGGCTCGGTGTTCACAGTGCTGGTAAGACTGCATTCGTCAGCTCTTGTGACTGCTGGCGTGGAGGTAGCTAGATTCTGGTCCGTGCACAGTTAGAGCAGCATCCCTCCATGTGCTTAATAAAAAGGGTTGATAAGCATTTACATCAGCCTTTGGAAAATGATCAGAGCCAATGCCAAACTTCATATTCTCATAGAAACACACTTTCACTGAAAAAAAATCTAACAGTTTTCAAAGAAGAGCCAGATGGGGACAAACACCATGATCTAGGTCCAATCAGTTTGTAAGTCACCGTTCTTCCACCACTAATTTCCAGATCTTTTTTTTTTTTTTTTTTCTTCTTCTTCTTCCATTTGCCTTCTGCCATTAGAATAAGGCCAGGTACACAAAGGTAGATGTCAAGCAAACATTCAGTTCAGTTTAATATGATAGAGGGTAAATAACAGACTCTACATTCAGCACTCACTAAATAAGACTGCATTATTCTTGTCTCCCGTGGCTTTTTTCACTGTTTCTGGCAGGAAAACATAGAAAGGAAGGAAATCACTTACTCTGAGTTAGAGGCTTTGCTTCTGTTATAACTCACTAAAGGCCTAATCCTGTTGGGTTTGGAGAAGCTTTGGTGGGACAACGGATGTTTAATTTAATCAAGGATTAAGGTCACACACCAAACAAAAAATAAGTAAAATAAAGAGGAAATAAAACAGCTCCCTTCCCCAGGGGGCTGAAGGCAAGAAAAATAGTCTGAGTGATGGCTTCATGGGTGAAGGGCCAGAAATACCTGCTATGCACAGGATCTGAGAGATGAGGTTGGACTGTCAGACCCAGAGGGAAGCAGAAAAAAGAGCTGTGTGGATACGCGTATTCTCCAAGCTGAAGTTTGGAACACCAAAGGGTGTTCCCCCTTTCACCTGAGCTCAGAAGGGCACTGGTGCTACAGGAGTATGTGGTGAAGGCTGTGCTTGCTTCTCCAGCTCTGTGGCTGCCGGGCTGCATGCACAAATCCCCCAAAAGCAGAGAAGGCAGGCTGAGCTCTCCGTTTCTCCAGCTAGCACAGCTCAGGGAGCATGGGGCCGGAGCGGGGTGAGGCCAGGGCACTGCTGGGATGTGCTGAATTAGGCAGGATAAATCCCTGATCGGTTGAAGCTGACCTCATGAGCACAGGGAGGTACAAGCATGCCCACTGAGGTGCACGTTTCTGTATTCAAGCAGCCATCCATGCATCCATCACCCAGGCACTGGGGCGAGGAAAGCGACCTCTTAATGACTCACCCATTTCCCTTGCTCAGTCATCTCAACAACAACAGCGACAGAAGAAACCATCTTCAAAGCTGGGCTCAGCTAATATATGCAGCCTCAGGTATCCATCAGTGTCACTGTCACCTGCTGCCTTCCTCAGACCTGCCATGTGCGTGGCCACCTTGTCTTGCCTTGCTATTACCTGGATGTGTGAGGCTGGTTAAAGTGCAGCACTGCTTCTGCAGCTGCAGACTTCAGCATCATCTGCTGAGAGCTTTCACTTTTTCCTCTTTGTGCCTTTCCCTGGTCTTGCAACTCCCCCTTCGTTAAAGAACCAGAAAATAGGCTGGCCTCTGACATTGTTTTCGGCGGACTTGAGGATATGGAAATGTATCACAATTAAATTACACACTTGAAGCTGTGTAAAGTTAGCTCCAATCAAGCCATCACTTGTCAAAAATTAAGAGAAGGCCATCATCAGGCTTCATTTCAGCTGGTTTGAAATCAGTAATTAACTTCTCAGAGAAAGCAGATATTTTGCAGGGAATCAGAGATGACATTTTTATTTGCAATGCACTTTTTGAGCCAAAGGAGGCTGCGTGTTGACAGTAAATATTATGTCAACAAAGCTCTATAAGTCTGAAGATTCATCTTCTGCCCTACTTGGGAATCTTTTCCAACATCAGAGGAGAAGAAAGCTGAAGTAAGGTAAACCCTTAAACCTGCAGGAGGTGGAGCATTAGGAATGAGAGGTGTTTCCTATTAAGCACCAGCCACTACAGTGGTTAAACAACAGTGCCATTAACAAAGCCATGTCCATGCCAATCATCCTCAAACCCAACTCTCAGAGGGCAGAGAGCCCCAATTCTCCTGGTAGCTTCTGATTTTCCATTCTTTTTAGAGCTTACACAGATGAGGAAGGACTGGTTCTCCTGTAAACACAGCGCCCAGTCGCTTTTGCATCGGTTGGTTAGTGTTCCTCGTTTGCTTTTTCTGAGAAAGATGAGACTTTGGGAAATGATAGAAAGTCCTGTCTTATCTCACCCTGGAAAATGCTGACACGGGCTAAAATCAGCAAGCTCTGTAAAATGCTGCACCTCATTTAAGCACACACATGCACAAACATAAGTATTACGAATACAGCTGACAATCATAAATCATGCCAACCTGCTGTGCGTACAGGAAAGGAATAGAAAGCTGCCACTTTGGTGCTCAGGTACCATGGTGACAGGGATCATACAAACAGACAGCGCTCATCTAATATCAATCAGGTAGTGGTTGCCTACAAGGCTACTGTTATGGAGCACACAACACTGAAATTTGGGTAAAACAATCATTTAATATTTCCTGCAGCAAGAAGTGCAGGAAAACCACAGGACTGTGAGGTTTTTCTTATTAATAACCAGATAAAGTGCTTGATTCATTCCCCTCTGAAACAACCCAGGACAGCAGAAGCACTGGGAAATGCAGAGCACAGATGAAGCAGTGGGAACCACAGAGGACAAATCTGCTTTGTCAGGGAAATGAACTGAATGCTTTAACAAGCTTTTTCCATCTCCATCTCTCCCGTTCCCAAGTTAAGAGCTGGATTTCCTTCAATTTGCAGACCTCTGTCAGAGTGGGGTGGGAGAAAGCATGCCCTGAGAGAGAGGTGCTGCTGCTGTCCCCCAGCAGCCGCAGCAGGGTGCAGCCAGCAGCACATCTGCACACTTCTCATGCAGGCACTAGTGCCTCTGCAGTCCCAACTGTGAGGGAAAATGTCCTGGGCTCCTTCTGCTTTCTGGCATATGTAAAAACAAGCAAACCGGCTAACCCATGTGCTCACTCCAGACTGGGCGTGTGTCAGACTGGGCAGCTCTACCTGAGTACCGCTGCAGGCTTTGCTGCTCCAGCGAGGAATTGGACTGATAGTTTCTATGCTGTAAAATAAATTTAATACAACTGGGAAAATCAATTTTATTTTGTTTTGTTCTAAGCTGGCATCTACTTCCTGACATGGATCATTAAGTAAAGCAGAGCAAAAAGGACTGGGAATGAATGAAAACCTATTTAACAGAGCAGCAGTAGCACTACCTGTAAGGAATAACAACAAAACTACAATGTCGAGTATTTAAGGCGGTGGATGACATTTCATGTTCATCTCATCATGCCAGCATACCCCAGCTACTCTGAAATTTGTTTGTGTAAATCAAAAAGACAGACACAACATACTGTGGCAATACGTGATTTGATGAGAGCAAATTAAATTCCACACAGCAGCGACACCAGACCTGCTATGGATGTAGACCCTTGGAACATTTTTATTATAATCTTTGTTATACAAGGCTTTGAAATGTGGCCATAAAAATTTGCCTCATAATAAAACCTGGCACACGACACAACAAGATCTTAGCCCAGAGAAGAGTTGCTGATTTCTTTTCTTCTCCCTGTGCAGACCAAATCCTAAATTCACTTACGAAATGAAAAACAAATAAATACATTTTCATTAAAGATGAATTAAGCATGACAGTTTGGCCTGTCTTACACCTCTCTAATGTGAAAGGGAGAAAAGAAGGTTGTTCCTCATTTAGAAAAATACTGCATTCATGGGCTACAATGGCAGCTGGGACCTAAATAATGAAGTCTAGTGGCTTTACATAATGATTTAATTGCTTATGGTATTTTAACGAGTTTTGTGGTAAAAAGGATAGTTATCTTTAAAAACAGAATTTACTTTCTAAAAGTTTCTTATTATGTTTAATCTAAATATGCAATCAGACCTGGCCTAAACCCATTGTAGCCCACCAAGCTGTGAGTTTTGTATGCCCTGTGTTCATCCCGCTGGGTCATGTGGGTAACTCAACCCAAATAGAGATGGCAAAACTGGAGCAAGGAAGGATGATCCAAGATGTTTCTGAGGGTTCACTGAAGAGCCCCCCAAACCCTCATGGTAGTACAGACCTTGCTTGGTTTGCATTAATTTCCCAAAAGGGACTTCTTGCAGAATCGCACTTTTTTCTCCTCACAAAAGGGATGCTCAGCCTGCTGGCACAGATTTGTGCCAAATGGCAAGATGTCTTAAAGGAATAAGCAAAGCAAGGAATGTTGCTCTTTTGAAAATGACATCTTCTGGGCAGGCTGATATACCCAACAACTTCTATTTTAGGGTGACCTGCATCTGGATACTGCTAACTGAAAATAAGTTTGGGCATATTAATATTCTATGGCTATAATCACTGAAGAAGTGCCTGTCAAAGGCAAGTATCAACTTCAAGAACTATTAAGTTGCTTCAGTAGTAAACTGCACATACAATTTTGCTACAACAAACTGATCCTCAGGCACATAGACTATGACTAAGAATAGGTGAGAAAAGATTTGCAAAATTCTGAATTATCTTTGCCCTTTCTCTGGTCAGACTGGAAAATAATAATCTAATGTCCTCTCCTAAAAAGGGATAGAAATTGAAGTTGATTCTGCAGGACATATGGAAAACTGTGAATTCTGAACAATTAAAACACGCTCTCCTTTTTACAATAGTGACAACGCATGATGTGATATTTTTTCTATAGCTACTCATGCATAATAGCAAAATATTTTAAATAGTAGCTTTACGAGCTTTAATGAAGGCGGAATGCTTCCAACCTGTGAGACTGCTGTGCTAACAATATCAGCAGGAATGGTACAAAAGAAAGCATTTCCTAGTAGCACTGGGTTGCTCAGTGTATGTAGCTAAGATTTTTCAAAAACAAAACAAAAAAGTCTCAAGTAGGTGAATTTGATTCCTGGCTATTGTCTCCCAACTTTGCCAATGGCTATTATATACAGATATCCTTTATGTAATAGATCCCTCTATTACATTTTATTTCCTTGGCTCCCACCAACAGTTTCTAGGAAGAATGTGCTGTTACTCACTTAAATTGGACAATTCAACAATAGTGGAGGGAATAATGGAGAGGAACCACAATCCCTCAAAATGATAATAACCTGCAGAGATATTTCACTCCTCATTTTTTAACCAAAACCTGACATTTCTCATTATTTCAGAGAGCAGACTGCCTAATCCTGAAGTATATCTATCACAAGTAATTCAGGTACAGAACTGACATCGCAATTATTTTTACTAGTACTAGCCAAAAAAGAACTATGTCTCAATGACCACAGATCAAATCTCTCCCACAGATACAGGAGTATACCTGCATAGAAAACTTCCAATTATTGGAAAGAAAACATACAGCTGTCAATCCAAAGAGAGTTTAGAGAAGAAAGTATCTCTGTTTGACTTCACTTATTACTTTCCAATAGCCCATCTCTGTCAAATAACAACAGTATTTTATGCTATTTAACATGTAAAAATCCATCACAATGTATAACAGATTTATCTATCAAGCAGAGATAACAGCAGTTCTCGTGCAAAATGCTTGCAATAAAATTTCAATCCATGGGAAATGCACTGGAGTCTGACTTTTGCTGGAGTCTCAAAAGCAAGTCAGGTTTTGCTAAAAGGTTCAGGACCCAGGTGAAGAGCACTGAGGCAATTTATGTTTTTCATCTCACTGATCTTACAGGAAAGCAGGCTCTTGGTGGCAATCACAAGAATCACAAGTACTATCTCTGACTATAAGGAAAAGAGAAAAATAGACTTTGTTCTACTTTTGCCAAGTCTGTTCTATGTTTTTTGAAATGAAGTGTTGTAAATCTCAATGGCACCATAGAAAAAATCAAGATTTCCGTAATTGTTCTACTACAATGAATAATCAGAGACCAAATGTTGTGTTATTATCATCAGCTACATCTCTGATGCAATCTGCATTTATTATTCTTCAGGTTTGCAAAGAATAAAGACTTGCTTGGAAAAAAATGTAGGCTTAGTTTACAATAACGGCATTTTCCTCTGTACTACCATTCTTTTAAAGCTGAAGGAGAGTGGATGTGAGAAAAGTGAATGGAACTGAGCTGTATGTTAAAAAAAAAAAAAAAGAACAACCAAATGAAGTCTTTTTTTTTTTTTAAACTAAACTTCAGTCATACATTCACATCAGGCCTTTTCTACATGAACGTATAAACTGATACTGCTACATCGCTTCTACCAAATGCTACTTTCAGCTCCAGATTAAAACAAAGAAACAAAAAATGAAAGAAAAAAGAAGCCACCCCAACATGGCCGTGAGTGGCTGGCCACAGTAGTTACTATTAATTAAAAATTCTGAATTTTACAGATACCGATGTCAATTTGCCATGTCACGATAGCTCTATCTGAAAATGCCTTCCTAATTTGTGTATCATTCAAACTTAGAACTTGTCAAGTGTTTCTTTTAAAGTTTCAGGAGAGGTTTTAGTAAAAACTATTTACTGTGTGGAGTGTCTGAGTGCACAGCTGATGAGGAAGGACAGTATGCCTTATCAGCTAAGAATTCATTGCTTGGACATGAATGAGAACAAAGATTTGGGTTTAATAGTGACCCTAACCCACAAGTATGATCAAGTTGTGAAAGAGGCA